CCGTAGGTGTTTGTCCTTCCTCAACCGCTCGAGGTCGATACGGATCCGGCTGCTTCCGCTGTTCCCCCGCACTCGTCGGTTGGGTGCGACACGGGGGGGGAGGCGGACAGTCGTAAGCACGAGGTTGTGGTCAGAATCCTTAAAGTCGACACGTTTGACGGAGACATTACGCACGAAAACGCCGGTCCGTCTGACGCATGAGGATGAAGTCGAGGCGGTACTTCTCCTTCCCCTTGTTGGAGCTCTGGAATGTGTGCTGCACTCCACCTTTCGGTGTCCGGAAGTAGGTGTTGGTCAGGGAGAGTTGGTTGTCTGACGCCAGTCCAAGGAGTCGTTCCCCGTTGTTGTTCATAATGTCGCGTCCGTACGCGCCCATAATCTTGGCATCGCAGCACCCGTCTCGCCTCCTACCAGTGCGTGCGTTGGCGTCCATTAGCACCACGAGATGGTCACGGCTGTGAACCTCCCGGATCGCTGCGTCGAGAGCAGTCCAGAAGGAGTCCTTGGCGTTAACATCACCGCCCGCGATGGTGCGGATAGTTTCCGTGGGGGCGTACCCCACCACCAAAGTTACTCCGCAGGTGCGGCCAATTTGTAGACGCACCTTCATCAGCCTCGGGCTAATGCACTCCACCGTCCTACCTTCCTCGCCCACACTCTCCCACATGGCCCCCTTCATCGCTATGCCCACACCGTGTACGCCCTGGGCGCCACTCCAGATGATCACGTACCCGTCGTGTGCAATTGAACCTTGCCCCTCTCGTCGGGTCCCCTGAAGTCCTATCACATCACAGCCGGTCGCGGAACAAATCTGCATGACCGTCATCACGTTGTGACCGATGGGGTTCCTACCGCTGTAGTCGAGCATGCGTACGTTAAACGTGCCGAACGATAGGTCGCCCTCTCGTGCCTTCTTCTTCGCGGCCGCCTTGACGGCCGCTGCGGTTTCGTGTCTCTCTCGGTCCGCCTCGCGTTGCGGGTGTGCTTTCTATGCGGATGTATGTACATTTTTTTTTCTCGTCGCATCTCTGGCGCCGCCTGCTTACTCCTCTTCGGTGCGCACTACACGTTTACCGCGTAGTACGTATGTATGTACACTTTACACTTCTCAGCGTACTTGGTACACTACAACTAGCAAGAAACACCGTCCGGGGTCACACTGGAGGGGGGTACCTACGCCATTTTTTTTCCTTCTTTTTATCTTCTTTTGTCCCCACCTACCTCCTGCGGTGCCTGCCTGAGATGTTTACAATAGCAATCCCTTCCCTCGCGACGGCGAAGTCGATCAGTTTACTAACAACGAGCTTTGCAGCGCGTCCCCTCCAACTTAGACCACATGTGAGATATCTGTTAGGAGGAACGCGACGTACACTATCCCACCTACCTCCACCTGGGTGGTGCGGCAACAAGCAGCGCCATGTGCGCGTTATCGCCAGCAAAGTATAGGTTCTGCTCGATGCTCGGAGAGGAAAAACGAAAAACCTGTGCTCAAATATGGGTATGACAGGACTTATTTTTTGAATTGTGAACACTAGGGGGAACAATTGGCTCGCCGCCCCCTAATGGGGCGGGCGGCCAGCATGCGTGGGATGAATGCGGGGGTTCGATAGGCAGAGAAAGTAGACGCGATGATGACATCGCTTCGGAAAAAGGGCACTCGAAGTCGGCTTAGTTAGGTAGACGATATGAGGTCGATACATACGTCGGTCCGTTGCGTACATCGGAGAAAAACATAATGAAAACGAAAGGGATTTTCGTGGAATGGTCGATGCCCGATCACAAAACGTGAAGCGGGCGGAACACGGGGGCTGGGAACATTTTGAGGAGATATTTGAAAAAATAAAGACGACGCCGTATTAAAGCGAGGAAAGGTAAGGGGCCGTTATCACCGGTGGCCCTGCATGCGTGGATGAAATTCGCGGCGGTCGTATCCGTCCGTGCCAGTGGTGGTTGTGGTGGGCGAGATGGCGGACGTCGCGGATCCGTGTAATCTCAGAGGATTGTGAAGAAGTGAATCGCCCCGCCGCCAGCCGGTCGGGTTTCGGTTACCCTATGGAAGACTCGAAAAGGGGGGAGTAATGTGGAGACCACCTTCATAAAGAAAGTTACTATTTCCCCAACGTCTATCGAGGACGATTATGATTCCTTCTTTTCACACTTAGTAGGGAAGTCGTCGAATATAAGGGAGACGGGTTGCTATTGAAGACGCTTAGAAATCGATTCCTTGCATATATATTCCTTTGATCATGCTCGGACGGGATAGGCGGTTAAAGGAATAATATCGAACATTGGGGATGATAAGCTCATCATCCCCTCCCGTGAGCAGATATATTTACACCGATACTGATCTCCCGAGAAGAAAATGGTTCGTAAGACCGAGTCTTACGTCGTAATTATTCGGAAGTATGTTTTAGCTCTCGGTCAAGGGGAGGTGGTCTTGAAGGGAAAAATTATCTGGGTCCAATAGACCTTCTGGGTCCAATAGACCTTCTTACGGTTCCTCGAGACAGATTTTGTTTCTCAGGAGAAAAAAGGGCGGATTCAAGTCTTTGTGGGTCACAACATGCTTCAGTTCACGATTTTAGCTCGTGTGCGACCAACAAGACACCGAGTGCCCTGTTTTTGGGTCGCCTCCAGAGGGCATGTGTATAATCGCACGCCAGTGACTGCAATTTGTGGATGTCGTCGGCCAAAGGCCTCTCTGTGGCATGCGTTGTGGACTGATCACGCTCGGAGCAACCAGAAAAAGAAGGCAACATCCACAAATAAATGTCAACATCGCAACACACTTCGGTTCACGTTTACAGGCCGTGTGCAATCAAAACTGGACAATACGCTCTGCTTTTGGGACGCGAGCATTGCGTATGTGTATAATCACACGCGATTGGCTGTAGTTTGTGGATACCATCGGCCGAAAGCCTCCCTCTGGCATGCGTTGTGGACTGGTTGCGGGTGACACACGGAGCACACAGGCGGCCCGAGAAAGAAAAAAGTCCAAAAAGTCAACGCCGCAACACACTTCGGTTCACGTTTACAGGCCGTGTGCATTCAAAACTGGACAATACGATCTGTTTCTGGGACGCGAGCAGAGGGTATGTGTATGATCACACGCCACTGGCTGCAGTTTGTGGATGTCGACCGCGCAAAGCCTCTCTCTGACGTGCGTTTTGACTGGTCACACATGCAGCAGGCACAAAAACGGCTTTTCTCGGCCCAAAGGCAAGAACGTCAGCAGAGCGATGTGTAGCAGGGTTGACGTTGTCGGCTCGTGTGCGGCCAACACTACGCAGAACGCCCTGAATTTTAGATACGTGCAGAGGGTTTGTGCATGACCTCATGATACTGGCCTCTGGTTGGCCAGCAGACGGTGTAGTTCCTCATTCTGGCACGATCGGGGTGTGACCAGGGGGTGACGCCCCCCCCAATTCCAAATTGGAAATTATCAGCCGATCCAGTTTGGAAAATGGGCCTATTTTCCAACGCGGCAGCTGGGATCCTAGGAAATATTCGGCATTTTGGAATTTGGTCGTTTGGAACTGGCCAAATTCCTCCGCGTAAGACGCTCAAATAATTATTTGGGCTGAGAAAAGGACCCCCCCCCAAAAAAATAATCCCGAAATATTCACGACGTAAGACTCAGCCTATAAGGAAGGGTGTGTGTGTCGTATTTTCTCTCGTACGCGCCAAAATATACATTGTTTTCTTGTTTATATTTGTTTTATGTGTTGTTGGTGACATAAGCTATGTGTACAACCACATGAAGTATCTCGAGCAGTTCTTTGGTGTTGACCGGGATCAAACATTCAGGGTGGCAACAATGAGCAAGTTGGACGGGCAATAACGAAGGGAAGACTATGTTATATTCAGAACATGAATATATTTTCGGCAAAAAAACGTGGTTTGAGGCTGACCCGAACTCATGACCTGGAGTGCACGAAGTCACCGTGGGCACACTCTGTGTCTACCTCTTTATTATCTGCACCGGCCTTCCTGGTATTCCCGTGCAGAGCGAGTTGTCTTTTAAAGAGAATACTTAGTTACAATAGGGATGCATGCGCGCATTCGCCAGTCTACAGCACGCCGAAGTGTTGCAGTTGTCCTATGCGTTAATGGACGTAGTCTACATGAGAAAACACATCGATACCAAGAGATCACACCTACCTGCGTATCGTTCTCTTCTACCACTTACTTCTAGACACCCTTTTCTTTTCTCAGGACCCCACCCACACCCGCACTCACATCTCCGACGGGCAAGAGGGAGCAACTCGAATGTGTGGGTGCTCCTTATGCGTGCAGAGGTTGTTCCACCCATCACCAATAAATCTTTCCAAGTTCGTGTTGATTCATGTTTTTGCCATCACCAATCAGCGCTTGCTGTCTTATCAGCGCTTGCTGTCTTGGTGCTATTTCAGGGTTGTTTGTCCGATGATGGTTGAGATGGTCACAGCGTAGACACACATACGTGTGCGTCGCATGCCACAGGTTGACGCGTGGTCGCGTGTCATCGTTGAGCGCAGAGTCACTGCACGGTACGGCAGCAATGTTCACCAATATCTGGATGATGTTGTAGAGTCTACAGCAACAACACACGTTGTGATGATGAGATGGCAGATTGAAAACCGAATATGAATCCGCGAAACACCACCACAAACAAAACACGTTCATCACTGCGTGTGCTTGCGTAATATTCTTGTCTACAGCAGCAGTGTTTCACTTGGCCTGGTGGCGTCACAATGCCCTTCGCCCGGTCGCAGGAGGTATCTCATGCAGCCGACGTCGCAGAGATAGGTAATAGATTTCGGTCTTATTCACGTAGCACACAACAATCGGTGTGGGTAGCAGCAAGCACAGGAGACACACATCATCATATATTATCGGTGTTCTCTAGTTCGGTGGCAGCAACAGACGCATTCCGCGGTCGACGCAAGGCCGCATATCCTTGTTGAGCACGAAATACGTCTTGTTGGAGAACATCATTGCTGCTGTCAGCAGTATCTGGATGTACAAAAAACGTCTACGGGTGTACAGCAGTAGAACACTCTGTGATTGATGATGGCCGATTTTGAATCTGAACAACACAGAACAGAACATGTTCAACACTGCGGGTGCATGCGCTAGGACTTGTCTACAGCAACAGTTTCTCACTTGGCCCGGTGGCGTCGCATTGAAGTACCCTTCGCCCGGTCTCCGAAGGCATCGCATGCAGCCAATGTCGCCAAGACACGCTGATGTTCGGTCTTACCCACGTTCGTCCACGAAAACAACTGAGCTACCATATGGTCCGTCCGGGCAAATATTCACAATATTTTCCCCTGCACAAAGGTGTACTTTTCTCGGGGTGGGGGGGGGGGGGGGGGG